TTATATACTTCTTAGCAAGGGGCTTTATCTCTGCGGGTTCACACACATATTCCCAGTGGGTTTTTGAATTTCTAGAAGAGTTTTTCATTATTACAGTGATAAGGAAATCATGGCAATAATGAATGTAGAGTTCCTGCCTCCAGAGAATGGTAGTATATAGTGGAGATATGAAATCAAGCAGAGGGCTTATATAATAAATGATCAAAGCAATTACACTAATAGCAGCTTCTTTCCAATTTGTCTTAAATGTGGTGTTTTTCTGTATATTACGTATGGACTATTGCTGCTGGCAGAAAGGTGCTGAATTGTGCTTTAGCAAAACTTCTGTGTATGAGTTCCTCACTAAGTTAAGAACTGTCCAGTGCAAGAATGTTAGTGGATAATTTCTTTACAGCAGAATTAATAGACAATTAACAGCATGTGCAACATCTCTGATGCTTATATAAGGTTCCAAGGTTGGGCTTCAAGGTTCTTTTACTGTTTTTTAGCATTTACTTTTGGCCGCTTATTTATATGATAGCAATAGACATGTCTGAGTTACTGGAATTGAAGTTATACAGATATCATCAAAAATAGTTTCAAACTAACCTCTAAAATTGAATTTTTTTAAATAGTTTTTTGTTTTATGGTATGTTTCTGCTATTTTTTAATCTGTACAACTATACAGTAGTACAACACTGCGTAAAACGAACATTGCTGCTGTGCATGACCATGAAACACTAGAGGACAGGGAAAGGAAGTAATTTCATTTAAAATTTCTATTCTGTTAACAGTGGATTTTTGGCATGTTATTTAGTGAGCATTAACTCTTTGGAGGCTCCAGGCATAGACCAGATAGTATAAAAATGACATTTAAACAAACAAACAAACAAACAGGCTTTTTGCTCGCGCATATTTTTTTCCTCCTCTGGGTTCAGTGTATGTATGTTTGCAGTTGGATATTGAAAAACCAATGGTGAAGCTGTTAGCAAATATGTTTGGTTTAGCTAGAAGCAGGTACACTATGAAGTATCAGAACTTCAGTCAACATCATGTAGACAGAAATTCACACTGAGGATGTGTATCCCAAGATTGACAAATAAGTTCATGGTCATATATTTCCTTGGACTTCTGTGTTCTTTTTAATATAATTTTCCATCTATTGTTGCAGATTATACCATCTGAAGTCTTTATATTTAGAAACTCCACAACTGATTTGTGGAGTTTGTTGTACCTTCATAATGTAATTCCTACTTTTTAAAAGGTAAAATTGGTAAAATTATTACAAAATTAACATTTAAGTTAAAAGCATGCACAATTACCCTGTCTTAAAACTGTAGTGCACAAATTCATTTTATTTCCCACTTAGGAGAGCTCTAAATAGGAGTATCTCAAATTACTTGAGATACCACCTCACTTCATAGGATGCAACTTCCAATGTGAGGCTTTAGTGGAGAAGTAAAATTATCATTTGTAACAGAAACATGCTTTGCACAGAAGACAGAACTTTTTGCTAATTCAATATCAATATGAAATTATCAAAATACAGTACAAAAATACAAAGATATTTGAATGAGTGAGTCCCCAACACATCAGAATAGAATAGCATATCAGCTTCTTTGTTGTACAGTTCTAATATTCTGGAGACTCCTTAAAAATATTTCATTAAAAAATTCTTCAGAGATTCAGGTGAGACTCCTGAAAACAGGCATTTAAATTCACTTACTACTGCTTGGAGATAGGGAAGCTACCTACAATTTTTGAAAGCTGAGATATCTAAAGTTAAGGTGATATGAGATAGGATTAAACAGACACAGTGTTACATCTGAATTAAAATTCAGTGTCAGAGTGTGTGCAGTAATAGTTGTTACTTGTCTACAAGTGTGTTCTTCTTGTCCATTGCTCTGCTTGTAAACATGATCAGATGTGTCATCTCCACTAAACAGAACTGTTGATCTGAAACTTTGAACTGTAGAAAATGAATGTCCACTCTGCGTGTTTTTTAGCCTCATTGGCCTTTGTTTTCAATTGTCTCTCGAATCTCATGGATTTCATGGTTTGGTATTAATAGTTTTGAGGAAAATTTATATTTATAGAATTTAATTTTTTGATAACGCTTCAATTAATTGTGTTTGGTTTTGGTTTTTTTAATTTGTATTGAGTTTACTTGTATGGCACTATTTGTCACCTTCTAATCTGCCCTGTTAATGTTAAATAAATCTGACAGTCCTCTAAATAGAAAATAAGTGTGGTTTTGTAGGCATTGAACTGCAGCTTTACTATTTATTTTAAGGTGTTCAGAGGTGCTTCTTACTATGGTAGATGAGAATTTAATGTAAGGTAGTGTAATTATCTTAATACTTTTGAGGTAAGAAATTGATCAGATCTTCCAAATGGAAAGCAGAAAAACAGGGATATAGACACTTACTAGTAGTATAACACAAATATTTATTGTTAGTATAGTATTCACATTTTATAAAATGTATCAGTATTATCTTATACCTGGTTTTCACATGAGAAAATCTAAGTATTTGTGCAAAACGGATTCTTGAATGCCAGTTCAGCGTTGTTTTTTTCCCCACCAAGTCACTATATTTCTTTTCTCTGCTACCAATACTTAGCTAAGCTGTCAGAAGTCACAAGGTGTTGGTAGTCAGAAAAAAATCCAGGTAACATCAAGTTCAGTCCACAGTGTTACGCACAAACATCAGAGATGCATTGCTCATGTCGCAGCATCTAGAACCTTTGGTTGCTCTGCTGATATTTCCAATTAGGTGTCAAGACAAGGACATGATTGTAATGGCCATATGCTATTTATAGACACTGCTCATTCACAAAGCTGAGGTGTGCTGGATATTCCCTCAGCCTTTCTTACAGGTCTTCCTAAATGCTTTAGTTCCACTTCTGCACTATTTTCCAAACTTCCTTAAATTAAGTAGAAGGCAGTCACTATGATGATATTAGGGCCCAATATGCATTTCAAGGTACTTAATTCTTCACCTTCTTCTGTTGTTTTTTTTTAAAGTCAAACTGGCAAAACACAGACCAACATTACACATATATCTGCAAAGATAAGTAATCTTTGGAAAGCCACACTGAAATCACTGGTGCTCATGAATATGTTTTTGGATCCTGATACAAGGCTGAATTCTGAAAGTACACAGATGTACACATCAGTTAAGGCAGTGCAAGATGCAAAGTGTTTTCTTGCAAATATGTGAAGTTTGAGAGCACTCGAAATAGTAAACTGTTTTGATGAATAAGAAGATCATTAAATTAGGAGAAAAAGTTTGGGAAAACTCTCAAACAGGGAATAGAGGAGTATCTACTGGGAGCAATTCAAAAGATGCAATGAGTGTCTCTTGCAGGCACTCTTCAAATTATTCTGAATTTACTGGGATATTTCAGTGAAAGAGCACCTTCTGAAGTGAACTTGGTGCCCTGGTATATTTGCAGAAGTGCAGAAGGATTGATATAAAAGTGAAAGAAAGATTTTTCTCAGCTTGTCTTCAAAGACATCCCTGTAAGAGCTGTTTCTGACTGGTAGAAAGCCATCACAGAAGGGAGATATTTGCAATGTTTTGTGTACTTTGTGTGAAGCCAGTTCAGGGAACAGTATAGATAATTTCTTGGCCTGAGTCTTTCATGTACTGATGCTAGCTTGATAGCATGCCCTGGATTCCTACAAAAGAAACAGCAAGTCTTGCGGGAGTCTGGGTTCTCCTCTGTGCTGACTTTGAGAACTCCAGAAAAACTGACTTTGGGCACTGAGGTCTATGATGAGGCTGTGAAACTGCGAAACAATGTCACAAGGGAATATCTGTTCACTTAAGGCACTTAAAAACAGACTTGGCTGCCTATCCTGAAAGTGTCACTGAACTGGCAGGGAGAGAACTGCGCTTCTTAACAGTTGCTTCTTCCTCTGATTTCTGTTTCTAGTCTAGAAAGTAGACAAAAAGGACTTAAGTGAGCTAAAAGTGCATAACTTCAGCTCAATGGTCATAGCAAAACAGAATGCATGACAGTTAAACTTCTGTGATGAACTTCTGCCTGTTGTTGCAACAAATGTTGATGCATTTTAATATTTTCTTGCTTTTATAGGTATTTGCATATTTTCCAGTGAGAAGACCTTTTGTTTTCTGTAAGATGCTATTATCCCGAGTCTTAATGGGTTTCCAGCTATTAAGATGTAATCATATACCGTAAGTATTTAACTATAAATTTGAAAAATCTTCATGAGCAATCTCAAAGGAATACTTGGAATGTACTCATAGTAAATTGTCTCATTTTCTTGTAATTTACTAGAAGTGCTGATAAGAGAGCAGTTGTAATGTGGAAAGTATATTAATCCATGGAGATGCATTGTATATGTGAAATTATTACTTTAAAACTTTAAGACATATCAGGTGATTTATGCTTACTCTTGTTACTTCACAGTAGAAAAATGATCACTATCTTTTGAGGGAGTGCATTTGAAATAAATACAGCAACCTTAAAAACAAACAGTGCAGTAATAAATTAAATTGGATGTGCATAACCATGTATCTTTTCTAAGGGATTATTGTGGGTGAATAGAGTCACCAGGATGCCTATAGTAAAGTTCTTTTCTTTCAGTTTATAAAAGCTGTTTAGAAATATTTTCACTTGAGATCTTCTCTGAAAAATAAAGCCAATGGTTCTTTACAGCAAATCCTGAAGCACCTGGCTTGATGCCATTCTGTGGAGACACAATCACCCTTTGGCTGTACTATTTTTAATAAAGGCAACTGGACTTTAAATAACTTTTAGATTTAGTGCATTTCAGAAGCAGTTGTGAAACAATTATGTGATTTCTTTTTGGCTTTGATTTTTTTTTTTTTATAGAATGTGAGAAGTGGAGGAACTGCAATTAATTTCAATACTGTAATATTAATCAAAATTATTTTGGGCACTGGGAGGCTGAATATCCTTGCTCTTTATGGAGACGTCATATGTAAGGAATGTCTAAGGCTTTGTAAAACTGTTACCCAATAGACTGGAACATGGAGACACAGCTAGACCCCATGAAGGATGACTTGCCCTTAATGGCCAACACTAGCTACATGCTTGTAAAGCACTATATATTGGACTTGGATGTGGATTTTAAAAGTAAAGTTATTGAAGGCATCATAGTTTTATTCTTTGAGACTGGGAGCCAGTACAGGAAAACCAGCAGTACTGGCAAAGAAGGCTGTCAGTCACAGTTTGATGAAACCTGTAAAATGAGCGCATCTGAACTCTGCCACATTCCTGTGACAAATGTGAGTGCCTGTTCATCTAAAACAGAATATAATGATTTTGCTGTCTGTGGTAAAGGTGAAGAAGATACTCCTGATAAAAAAGGTAACCATAGCAACCAGGAACAGGCTTCTGGGATTTCTAGTTCAAAGGACTTCTGTGACATAGAGAATCATGGGAACAAGGATTTTCTGCTGGTATTGGACTGCTGTGATTTATCCGTGCTAAAGGTTGAGGAGGTAGATGTTGCTGCTGTGTCAGGCATTGAAAAATTCACAAGGTCTGCCAAGCTACCTCATGTTTCAAAGGAGCTGGAAAATCTCAGGAATCGGATTGTACATGAACTTGTGACTTTACCTGCAGATCGCTGGAAGGAACAGCTATACTATTTTACTCGCTGCAGCCAGGCACCTGGCTGTGGAGAGCTACTGTTTACTACTGGCACTTGGAGCTTGGAGATAAGGAAATCAGGAATTCAGACTCCAGCAGACTTTCCTCATGCAATAAGAATATGGTACAAAACCAAACCAGAGGGAAGATCCGTTACATGGACTACAGACCAGAGTGGCAGGTAGGTAAATATTAGCTGGAAGCGTTGCACACATGAATTTTAAACATACATGCAAGAATGTAGAATCGTGTAATGCTGAGCAACTGTGAAGATGATGTGCATTCTCTTCCGTTGTTTTCATTTCATCCCTGTTTTGAATCCTGCTGGTGTCCTGTAGGAGAACAGACAAACTCCCTGCTCAAGAAAACCCAATGGACTTGCAGACCTCAGGCCTGTCTAGGTGATGGTGTTTGCTCATTCTGAGTGGGAGTAAATCATTGTCGTGTATTGGAATAACTGTGTGCAGCGAGTAGGGAATTATCACTTAGGGGAAGATGAGGTATGCATGACAGGTTATTTTCACTTTAGTACGTTGTGTTCTTTTTCCTTCCTGGCTTACACAACTGATCATACAGCATAAAGATCAGTATACATAATATTTAATAGAACTGCTTCACACGTAGTCTTTTATCAGTATTGTAATAAGTTTAGAGATGCAGTCTTTTCCGGTTTAGTCTCTCATAATCAACTTTTAAAATCTCCTTCATCTATTATGTAAAGTACATTGATGATAGTAAATGAACTGCAAACTGAAACTGTGAGAAGAATTGGCATTTTACCTAGCATTTGTGAAAGTACACAGTGCTGTACAGAAATCTTCAAGATAAGCTCTTTATAGGAGGGAAATAACAATGCACTCTTCACTTCTGCAACTGTAGTTGTTTTACTGTAATGTTCAAAGCTGGATTTTAATGGCTGTTAGTTCTTTATGATACCTAAAAAACAGGAATAAAGTTGGAAGATGAGGAAGAAATTTGGTTTAATTGAATACTTGCTTTTCATTCCCAAACTAGAGATATATGGTTACCTTTCATTTCAGTTATGCTAGTAGAAATTAAGATACTTCTCACTGCCATCCACGTTAGGGAGGATAATGAGGCCTTTTAATTCTACATCTGGTAGTTAGGTAATTCTGCTGCTAAAGCATGAGCAGCATCAAGTCCAGGAATGTCTCAGTCATGTTCATTACCTCTTCCCCTTACCTCTCCCTTCCTCACTCCCCAAGGAGTTATTTTTGGTATGAGTTTAGGAAATTTAACTCAGTGTAGTATCTTTATTTATGAAAATTTTGAATTTTGACTGCATGCAAAGGTAGGGTGATTGCCTGTGATCACATGTATCCGTGTCTACCTGCCCCTTACTAAAGTCTTTGAGACTAATGTTAGCAACGCTCAGCTGGTATGGGATTCCTCCTCTGTTTGTTGTCTGTGTGTTTTGAGTATTTTGAGGTTTCTTTCAAGCATCTAAATCACTAACATCTTTTAGTTTTGACTCTTTTTCCTTTTCACTGCAAAGCGTTATTTGTACTTTGGAGACATTTCATGGCAGCTGTACACAAACACACGGAATTTTATGGATCAATAATGAAGCAGGAAAAGAGGGCTTGACATGGGTCAGGCGGTCTGATGGTAGCAAATAGTCTCAAGCTGGTTTATTTTCAGTCTTTTGTAGGGTATACCAGAAACTAATGCCTGTGAGAAAATAAGTTTTCATATCACAGTCATTAGAATCTTTCTTGCTACATTTTTTAAATCACATTCTGGCTGTGATGAACCCATAAATATAGTGGCAAAGCTCATTGTACAAAATGGTGTTGTATTTTTCCTTCCCTTTCTAAAAATAAAGCCCATTTATAACGTATGGGGGAAGTACTATTACAGCATATTCTCATAGGGGAATTCTTTAAATTGTTCCAAATTGTGTGGGTGGTACTTTTTTAGGCAGATGTCAAATCCTTTCCCAGAAGAATCTATGGTTCTAACCCAGAGAAAAGTGAAGCGAATAACAAAGGACAAGCGTTGTGTGGCCACTTCCAATGTTTACTCTCTTTTAACGCTAGTACAATGTTTTGAAATTTAACCTATGCAGTATTTTATAAAGACTTCGATTTTATTTGATTTAAACAATGATGTATTATAATACACAAAAAATCGATTAAAACAAAGCTTTGTGGGATGTGTTTAGGCAAGTTGAGATATGTGTGTGCAAACCTGATGTTAGCACACCAGGGCACACTTCTCTTTTCAGTAGAGGAACTGAACACGGGGAATTTCAGCATTTCCCTGTTTGGGCTTTTGATACTAGTAAATACATTAATGATCAAGAAGGAAGGTTTTCTTTAGCCTTATAACATGTTTTTTTGTAATAACATGCTTTTTGGGGCCTTTATGTGCAAGTACTAAAAAGGGGGCAAAATAGAGGAATAGAGTATGTGTGTGAGTATATGTGGGTATGCACATATATATACATATACGTATAAATATATACACTGTTTTGTCTCTCCAAAAGTTATACTTACAAGGACTATATCAGTTCTTAAAATTGGCAGGTAACTTTTAACGGTGATCAATAACATAATTACTAAAATAGGAAAAAAAAAAAGCTGTTGATTATAATTTTTGTAATATATTTATCATTAAAAAAGAGAAATTCTGTTTCTAAGTTTTTCAGTTGTTTACTAGCACAATACAGCACCGGAGTTTCAAACTAAGAAGGTAATGTTGCAATTTTGACAAAATTATACTTCTGTTTGAAGTATTCTTACTAGTACTAAGTATTATAAAATGATTTAAAATAAAAGCTTCTTTTAGGCACTACAATAACCACTTTGTGGAGGGAATAATGTGTATAAAACATCTTTCATTACTGGGAAGGAGAAACTTTTTGCGAGCCCATCAAGGTGTTTAAGCAGTTTTTCCTAACTCTTAGGAATATGTAGCAGTGTTGAGTCAGCATGGCTACCAGCATATTTTGAATTAAATGTTTTCCCATGATCATTCTTAAGGATCCTTATTCATTAAAACATCCTGGGATCCCATCTCTTTATTGTTTAAGTAAACTATTAAACACATTTAGGTTAAAATTAAAGAGGTAATTTTCTTAACAGACAGCCTTGAAAATTCACCTCTGATGGGAGATTCCTCCCACCTTTTTTCTTCCTTACTTATTGCCACTTCTAGTGCTGTCATAAATTAGTTAATGGTTTTGTTGATATTAATGAGCAACTGGAATGGAACTCATTTCCTCATTGTGGGAGTAGGAATGAAAGAGTATCTTTGATATGAACAACATCAATGAAAGACATTCCATGACACTGAAACCTTTCAGTACTGGGTCCTAATCCTGTAAGCTACCTGTGCATTATTTACCTTGCCATACATCAATAGGTACACTGGTCGGTCAGGTACACGCATTTATTTTTTCAGGTTGAGTCCTAGATATCAGATACACAGAAAAGGAGGAATTCTGGGAAGTAAAGGGGATGGGCTGAATTACTCCAAGTGTATGATTTTCATGAGAATGCTATGGAAAAAGCATATTATTAGAAGCTATTAAAGGATGATTGAGCAGTTTTGGGGAAACACTCTAGAAAGTGTTAACCGTGTGCTAATTTTCCAAAGTGGGAAACATTGGTAAACGTGGAATGGTGTCCTTAAAAAATTGCTTATGATATCTTGATATTTATTTGACCAATTTAAGTGTCTTACCTTTCAAAAATATTTTGTACCTGTCTAGTTGATGATCTTTATGATATCTTATTATTAGATTAAAATACCAATGTATTTTTAAAGAACTAGGGAAATATTTTTGCCTTTATGAAAGCTATGAAGGTGCATATAGCAAGCATAAATGCACAATTTGGTAGAAGTGCTAATGCTAGCATATGTTCTGTAATTAAATGCTTCTTTTCAGATGCAGTGTTCAACTGTATCATGGACATCACTGAACTGCCTCGTTCTTCATTTGTTATATATAACCTTGCATTTCTGTAATGTGCAGCTGAAGCACCTGAGGTAGATAGTGATTAGGAGAATATACAAAGAGGTGGTACCTAATGTAGCAATAAAACAGACCTTGGTTTCCTATTTAAATAATTTGGTGTTACTGATTCTGCTGACACAGCAAAGAACTAGTAGAAAAGTTCTGCCAAACCTATTGTGATCTGTTTTGTGGACCTGTGTGAGGAGTCTGTGTCAGGCTGGGTCTCACTGGCATGCAGACTGGCACAATTCCTCATTATTTTTTGTCTGCAGGTAAAAAAAGAGATATTTTACCTTTTTTGAGACTGGTTGTTTCAAGCCTGCCTCTCCTTAGGACACGCATTTTGAAATGCAAATCATGTTCAAAGAGAGTAGTTGCAATTGTTCAGATGCATTGGTGATGAGCTATTCATAAATTTGGATGCTTCTTCTGAAGGTAAGTTCTTAAAAAGTTATACCCTTCTTTGGCACTGCAGTCACTCAGACTGTGTTACATAGTATGTTGCATAAAGTAAGGACTACATAAAAACTGTATAAAAGTACACACAGCAACATTGACATTTTTCATTTTTTGCTATTTTAACATTTAGTTTATCATTGATATTCCCTTCTGAGAGGGACTGAAATTTTCATAAATGTTCTGAACTTGAGATTTTTTCCTAAATATTCAGGATAGTGGAAACATGCTAAACCCATTTCTTGAATATTTAGCTAAAGCTTGAGGTTGGAAGTGAATTCTTGAGCAGTCATCTCTAATTTCCAGGAGGTTACACATAGAAGTCTATGTTTATCAACTTTCTGTATATGGAAATATAGCCTAGAAAAAATGTCATGTGTAGTTGTAAGCACCATGTTTCTAGTGCCAGTCACAACAATGATATTTACTAAAAATCAAGAAATGGAGTATAATGCATTTTAGTATATGTAATTTCCTTAAGTTCCAGAACAGTTCACAAGAATTATGAAATTGTTTTATCTAGAGACTGCTGGAGAAGCAGAATGTCATCATTTCACATGTGGAAGGATTGCTTTCCAAACGTCTTCAAAGTTTTGATTTGGAATTGTTTAAGTCTATCATCTTTTATGTCCTACAGAGATCAAATGACCATCTAAAGGCTGCAAAATTGTTCTTTGTGTCCTTAGTGATTGGTACTTAAGAGTGAAGAATTGCATTTGGCTATGGTAAGCTAGCAATATGCA